CATTGCCACTGAAATTCGTCAGACCTACAGGTACCTGATCAGCGTTCAAACGCGCGGTTCGAGCGAGGTGGCATGGCTGCATGAGTTAGTTCGAGCCCAAATGTTCGCATTGCGTACTCACTCGTGGTCGTCTGCCAACATTCGATACCTGCGGTCTTTGAGGTGTCGGCCCTTCAATACCTCGAATATAGTAAGGCATGATTTAGCTATTGTGATGCGTTCCAACCTTGATGAAGCTCGAGAGGAGTGTTGCGATGGGCAAATCAGACTTTCACGGATTGGACATTTGTGTCCATCCAGACGCCTTTTGTGCCTCGAGCACAGACCTGCCGGAAGCGGCCATGTTCGCAGAAGACAATGAAATGATCTATTCTGGGCAGCAAAAAGTCCTACCTGTCAATGTCACAACTCGAGATCAGGGAGCAACACCTTGTGATGCGGAGGAGGTGATAGCGAGGACACTGCACACTATCCACGTTTCCCATCAAGGGTGCTAACGACGAGGTGCAGCACCGTATGCCATCAACAAATTGTTGGTATTGTGTAGTAGCGTATATCGGCAGAAGCGTCATACTTCTGTATGTCTGTTCGACAGAGGGAATAGACGCGAGTATGCCATGGATACACCGAGTACAAGCACCATCTAGAGGAAAGAGGGTTGGACTCATTGACGATGCCAGCTCAGGTCGTCCTAAGCATACCTAGTCCAAATCAAGCTAGGTCATAATTAGTTAGCGTATTCTCTTGCGGCAGTCGCGTCTCACGTCATTGACACGTCGAGTACCGACGCGACTTTGGCCGGGCAAGAAGTCCTCCATGTGCCGAAATTCGACCATCACGGTGGAAGGTCGTTTATATCTGCACCTCAATGCCCTTACCTACAGCGTGATCTCGAGCTGATATTAGTTACCACCGCCATCATGCCTGGCCGAGTATCAACATCGCAGAAGCGAGCACTGGCGGACAACACCAATGCCCACAACGTTATAAAGTCCCCACCATCAGCGAAGAAGAGAAAGCTCAACGGAACGCAGCCCAATGTATCCTTCAACTCCTCACAGGGAGGGCCAAATGGCTTCAAGAATAAATTCGGCTCGAGTCAGCCGAAGAGCCAGTTCGAGACAGAAGTACTGGAGAAGATGACACAGGACATCTCAGGCTTGAAGGAGAATAATGCAGAGAAGGACCAGCAATGGGATAGGCCGAGTCTGGACGATTTCAATGCAAAGCGGGATCTTCTACGGTTTCAATCTATAGACATAGAAGAAGGCGTTCTGCATGGCGGCAAGGTCACCCTGAAGATGTTTGGTGTGTCAGAGGTGAGTCGTGCCCTCATGCTTCTAATCATTGCGATACTGATACGCGGCGCAGACTGGTCACTCGATACTCTTGCATGTGACCGACTTCCTCCACTACCTCTATGTCGCAGCACCGGTCAACTTTCAGAGACAAGATGTTGATGGGTACAAAGCATACCTCGAGACCCAACTTGCACAGCACGAACCTGCGATACACTCCGTACAGATGGTCCTTCGGGAGAGCTTGTTCGGCTTTCAAGGCAATCAGAAGAGCCCATATCTCAAGATTACTGTAACGAATCCAAAATACATAAACAAACTGCGCTCGACCATCGAGCATGGAAGTGCCAATTACAAAGGACTATGGAAAGGCATAGAGGGCGGCATAATGACCTTTGACAACATTCAATACGTCCTACGCTTCATGATCGATACCAGTGTCACTGGCATGGGCTGGGTCGAAATTCCAGCTGGCAAATACACCGTCATGCAGCAGTACGACCGTCAGTCGAATTGCCAGATCGAAGCATATTGCAACTACAGAGATATGGTTGCGCTGGGTCACGATGGTGAATGGGCGAAAATGGCTCCGTTACGTATCTTGTCTTTCGACATCGAGTGCGCTGGTCGCAAAGGTGTCTTCCCAGAACCCAACGTGGATCCTGTTATTCAGATCGCCAACGTCGTCACCAGATATGGAGAGTCGAAACCATTCATCCGCAACGTTTTTGTCCTCGACACATGCAGTTTGATCGTCAATACACAGATATACGAGCATGATACCGAAGAGAAGATGCTCATGGCATGGCGAAACTTTCTGGAGAAAGTCGACCCAGATGTCATAATTGGATACAATATCTCGAATTTCGATTTTCCTTACTTACTGGACCGCGCCAAACATCTGAAATTGACCAAGTTTCCGTACTGGTCGAGGCTGAAAAGTGTTCAGTCTAGTGCCACGGCCACGAATTTCTCAAGTAAGCAGATGGGTAACAGGGACACCAAAGCTACAAACACGAACGGCAGGATACAAATGGATTTGCTGCAACTCATCCAGAGAGATCATCAGTTGCGGAGTTATACCTTGAACTCTGTCTGTGCTCAATTTCTAGGAGAGCAAAAAGAAGATGTGCACCATAGCATGATTACCGAGTTGTACAACGGCACTCCGGATCAGAGGCGACGTCTTGCCGTCTATTGCTTGAAAGATGCATACCTCCCGCAAAGGCTCATGGACAAGCTGATGTGTTTAGTCAACTACACTGAGATGGCTCGTGTCACAGGTGTGCCGTTCAACTTCCTGCTTTCGAGAGGCCAACAAGTCAAGTTCATCAGTCAGATGTTCAGGAAAGCTCTTGAGCAGCAACTGATTGTGCCTAATTTGAAGAATGAAGGTCCAGATGAACAGTACGAAGGTGCTACTGTTATCGAGCCAAGCAGAGGATATTACGATGTCCCGGTTGCAACACTCGATTTTGCGTCCCTGTACCCGTCGATCATCCAGGCTCATAATTTGTGCTATACAACACTGCTGAACAAGCAGATGGTGGACAAACTACACTTGAAAAAGGATGAGGACTACATAGTCACGCCCAACGGAGACCTCTTTGCCACATCAAAGGTCAGGAAGGGTCTGCTCACCCAGATCTTGGAAGAATTGCTCACATCGAGGAAAAAGGCTAAGAAGGAAATGGGGACGGAAACGGATCCATTCAAGCAAGCTGTGCTGAACGGTCGACAACTTGCCTTGAAGATCTCGGCAAACTCTGTGTACGGTCTGACAGGTGCCACCAATGGCAAGCTTCCCTGTTTGGCCATCGCCTCCAGTACTACCTCATACGGTCGGCAGATGATCGAAAAGACAAAGGCGGAAGTCGAAGCCAAGTATCGCATCTCCAATGGGTACACGCATGATGCAGAGGTCATCTACGGTGATACCGATTCGGTCATGGTCAAGTTTGGAGAGAAAGACCTAGCCAAGGTCATGGCGCTAGGAGAGGAAGCCGCGAACTATGTCTCTTCGAAATTTATCAAGCCGATCAAACTTGAGTTCGAAAAGGTATACTACCCGTATCTGCTGATCAACAAGAAGAGGTATGCCGGGTTGTACTGGACGAACCCTGAGAAATACGACAAGATGGATACAAAAGGTATTGAAACAGTCCGGAGAGACAACTGTCGACTTGTGCAAGTTGTCATCGAAACCGTGCTGAGGAAAATTCTCGTGGACCGAGATGTGGACGCAGCGCAAGACTATGTCCGGGAGACAATCTCATCGCTTCTACAGAACAAAGTCGACCTATCCATGTTGGTCATCACGAAGCAATATACCAAACATGACTACGACAACAAACAAGCTCACGTCGAACTAGCCAAACGTATGGAGAAGAGACCTGGCGGGACGACTGTAGCGCTGGGAGATCGTATCGCTTATGTGATAGTGAAAGGACGAGGTGACAGTAAAGCATACGAGAAGTCAGAGGATCCCCTGTTTGTGCTCGAAAACAACATTCCTATTGACACGAAACATTACCTTGATAACCAGCTTTCGAACCCGCTCGGAAGAATTTTTGAGCCTATTCTAGGAGAGAAGAAGGCGAACTCACTACTTGCTGGTGATCATACACGGTCGATCTCGGTGGCTGCACCTACTATGGGTGGGTTGATGAAGTTCACGAAAAAGACGCAGACTTGTATGGGTTGCAAGAAACCTCTCGTTGGCAAGCAAGAGGCTGCTGGTGCCGTGTGCGAGAATTGTCGGCCAAGAATTGGGGAGCTGTACACACGGCAGGTCCGAAAGGTGGGAGAGCTTGAGGTCAGGTTTGGAAGATTGTGGACGCAGTGTCAGAGGTGTCAAGGCAGTATGCATACTGAGGTACTTTGTCAAAGTAGGGATTGTCCGATCTTCTACATGAGGATGAAGGCACGGAAGGAGGTTGAGGAGGGCGCTAAGGAGTTGGGCAGGTTTGATCATGATGTTGGTGCTATTTGGTAGATAATGATTGTAGTCCCCACCCAATGTATTCTTGGCAGTACCATGCGCAAACTCAGTCAGGAACCCCTTTAACTTCCAAGCTCTTCTACTTCAAACGCGGGCAAGCTTCGCTGCAATTTGTTTGTTTACAACATCGAGCCAGGTGCTCGATAAAGTCTCACCGCATCTACCAACCAAAGCCATAATCCATATCTACTTGATCGACTCTAGTCTCTACCTGAAACCCAGCTGCTTGTATGTTGCCTTGAGGCGCCCCGTCTGGCAGCTGAAAATTGCGTTCCTTGACAGACATAAATGGCTACGGCAGTGACATAAGTCAGGTAGACCGAGTGCTGTGTGTAATGCGCAGTTGCGTAAACATCGTGAGCTTCAGCGCGCGAGTCCTCGAGATCGATGCGTTCTCACAGTACTCCTATAACACTACTTGACTTCAATTTTCCCAAGTTTCACTACCAGCCTTCGTATTCGCACGACCCTGTCCTTCAACTGCCGGGTTCGTAGCATAGCCTGTCGGTGAAGCCCAGTTGTGCGTGGAAGGCGGGGATTGCTGCCCCTCATGCCTGCCGTTCTCGGAGTTCTTTCCCACAATTTCTCACGCGATATTGCCATCGTGTCCAGTGTGGTTCCCAAACATTTTGGTTATACATATGCTATATTACACAAATCAGTAACCACAAATAAGCAGGAGCTTAAACAGTTCCATTCACGGTTTGATGGTGTAGTTGGTTATCACGTAAGCTCAATTTCATCCATCTTGACATGAAAATGTCTAACAAACCTCAGGTCTGCTTAACACAAGCTCATCGAGCATCTGTCATACGCAGAAGGTCTCCGGTTCAAGTCCGGGTCGAATCATTATTCTTTTTGCACGTTGTTAGAGCAATTTCTGTTGAGAAATGGTTGAGATATGCTCGATTCATGTTTTTGCTCGACAGGGGGTCATAACCTGTTGTGCGGAGCGAAAATTGCACCGAGGCCACGAGGCTAGCCCGGAGAAGAGCGTCACATACCCTAAGCCATGGTTTACGATCTCTTGCCCTTCCTCGTTCATTCTTGTTCATACTATGAATATTGCGAATATTCTTTTGCTGCCGCTCGTCAGAAGGAACTCCAAAGTCGATGGCTCTTGAGTCTTCCTTCTTGCCTAGTATTCCTCTCATTACAAATAAGGATTCTTCCGCTCCAAATTTGAGCAGGCCACGGCGACGAATGATTTGTTCGCTCACAGTTGCTCGAGCAGACACGAACTGCTGTCTGATATCCCGTAGGTTTAGAGATAGAAAGCCGAATTTAAGCTTGTCACTGTTCTCACCAATGGTCAAGTTGTTCGATACGACTTGGTAGAGTAACTTATGCAGTCTACTGTACTCGCGCAACATGCTTCGACGACTGTAGCAGCAACAGGTGACAACGGCGAAGTCCGCTCCCTATGCTTGGGCACGATAGGGCCTGTAACCCCAGGCTGATGACCACCACCACCTCATCTACATTGCCTTTGACGAATGTCATAGTCGGTCACATACCCTCTCGTATTGTTCTATGTTGACCTATAGGAACGCCTTCGTGCCAATGTGGCCAACTGCCACATAAGATCCGTGCCGTCAACTTTATTACCGATAACGGCAGCATGAGTAGCACACGTCCGTGTTCAGTAATTTTATACGACGATGTCTTGAGAGCATCAATTTTCCTACATATCACAAATAGCATTGAACTGCCTTGCTGCGGCTATTTGCCATCTTTAGGTAGGTCTACTTCGCACAGTATGCATGCCGATTAGGCACGAAGACATATGCACGTTTGCAGCTGGACTTTCTAGAGCACGGAATGTTGGAAAGGAGCCGAAGAGTATGGTACGAGTGGCAATAGTGGGTTTGGAATTAGGTAAAAGACGTATCGGCTTGCTCTTTGGAGTAACAAGAGGCCTGGTAGAAGAGACAGGTCGCAGTGGGAAGAGGAGAGTGTACAGCATCCGAAGGACCCCAACGGTGGCACGCTTTAGATAAAATGATACACTAGACGTCGAAGGGACACGGGGGTGCCCCAACGTGCTTACGAGAGCCGAGTATTGCTGTATGAGCAGCATCACAGAAACAAAAATGCATGTCGAGGGCCAATTCACCAGCTAGCCAACAGGACTGGACGATGGTACAACAAGAGTCAGGCAAGAGCATAGCTATGTTCATCGTCCCCGAATGTGTCGCTCAGTCCCCGTTCTATCGACGACCAAGCTGCGAGGATCCATAGATCGTTAGAATCGAGTACTCTCCAACATCAGAAGACGTTCGTCTCGCTATCACTTCCGCCGCTTCATATCAGCACTCACTCACTCCGCTGATCACACTCCACAACCAAATCTTCATCCCCTACAAAAACCACCGATAACTCGCATCCGCCGGCCCATTCCTCATCATCTCAGTCGGAATATCCCTCGCCCTGACCTTCTTCCCCTCCCGTCTATCCCTTCGCTTATTATCCCAAATCATAAAAGTCCCCAAACCAAGCGTCAACAAACACCCACACCCCCCAAACGCCGCCGTCGTAATCAACGCAGGGAAGTACTTCGGCGCATCCTCCGGCCGGAAAATATTACTACTCACCACCCCCATCAAATTCGCAACCGGCACACCCACACTCGTGAGCATAACGCGCTGATTCTCATTCGCGATGTTATTGTTGAACCAGGTGTCGAGAATCACGCTGGGTGCGGATGTGCCCCATGTCATCATGAAGCACGCGAAGTAGGCCACGTTGAGTTGGGTTGTAACGTTGACGCACGCGAAGATGATGAAGCCTGTCATTGTGAATGCGAAGCCGAGGGCGACGAAGGGGAAGCGTAGGCGGGTGTAGTCGCTTGTGAAGGCGAGGAGGAGGAGCATGGCTGCGCCGGTGACATTGGGGGCGACGGTGTAGAGGTTTGTTTTTACGGTGGACCAGCCGAAGCGTTTGATTATGGGGGGGAGGTAGAGGGCGACGGATTGGAGGGGGACGCCGAGGGTCATTTCGATGCCTGGGGGATTGTTGTCAGTGATGAAGGGCAGGGCAGTGGAGTATACCTACATAGGATGATCCAGCTGGTGGGGTGTTTGAAGATCTTGACAGCGTCCTTGAAATCGAACTTTTCGTTCACGACGGACGATGAGTCCATTTGCATCCGGTAGAAGGCGAGGCGCTTCTCATCCTCGGTGAGGAATTTGGCTGTGGCGGCGCTGAAGGGGAGGTACCAGTAGGCGAAGATGGCGAAGAGTACTGTTACGCTGCCTTCGATTATGAAGAGGTAGCGCCAGCTTGCGAGGCTTGTGTTGTTGATGTGGAAGACGCCGTAGGAGAGGAGACCGGAGAAGGCGTTGGCGATGTTTGATGCGGCGTAGAAGATTGCTAGGCGGCGGGCGAGTTCTCCTCGGCGGTAGAATGTGGTTTGGTAGTAGATCACGAGGGGGAAGAAGGCGCTGAATGAAGACGAAGACGTTAGGTATAGTGATGGTAGGTTTATTAGAGTGGAAGAATACCTTTCAGCCATGCCAAGGAACCACCGAAGAGCGAAGAGGCCACCAAAGTTCATGGCTGCGACGGTCCTGTGGATGTGTCAGTCGGAGCTCGTTATCGTGAGAAGGTATCCTTACATCAAAGTCATGAAGCCGAATGTAAACATCATGAGTGGCAGCACTCGACTTGGCCCATACTTCTTGCCAGCCATGGCCAAGAACGGAGCAGTCACCACGTAAGGAACGAAGAAGATACTCAGCAAAATGTTGTACTGGTTCGACTTCAGCTTGAGGGTATCCTCCAGGCCTGCTGTCTTCGCATTACCAAGATTGCCTTTGTCGAGGGCATTGCAAAGGTACATGAAGGCCAGCGTAGGCAGGATGCGAATGTCGAACTTCCAGACAAGTCTCTTTTCGGCCTCCTTGTCGATGGAGAAGTTTGCAGAGACCTTGCGGACTTTGCCAGTGACTGGGTCTTCAAGGACGATACCATCTTGTGCTGCTTTGATGGTGGAATCGTTTGTGGCTGAGGTGGTGAGGACTTTGGCGTCCTTCAGTATTTCGGGGTCGGACGATTGAGTGGATGATCTTTTGTCAGCCATGGTGAAGGTTCAGACGCGCCGAAGCCTGCCACCTTCAAAGTTGTGTGGTCTGGGTAGGAAGCAGGAGCAATATAAGAGGGGAGTATGTAGCATTTCGAATATGTGCCTTCGCATGTAACGCTGATCGTTGGTAGCACTAAGACATAACCGAATGTCACATCCCGCTGATCCTTCGGCATGGAAATACCCCAGCCCTCCCACGTTATCTACTGTACGGTAAACGCTGCAACGGCTGAACGCGGCGGACTAGAAGAGATAAAGCTGCTTTTGGAGGACGCCGTCGGCTGGCTTAGGTGGTAATTGAGACGATGCAGAAGCTGGAGTAGACTCAGCGCTATCTTATCACGAGCTTGACATAGCTCATTGGAGGATGACATGCTACTGTTGAGAAGCTCAAGATAAGGCAGACCAAGTTGCGGCTCAGATAAGCTGTCGGTAGCGGGGAAGTCCTGGTGCTAAACGATGGCCCCGGATTAACGTTAAACCCTCTATTGCCGCCAAGCTTTGCACCTGGGTAGTAGGGTTGTACTTGTGAACGGCTTGGCAACCATTGAAGGTGACCAAGCCAATAATCTCGGTAGGCGATGGAAGCTACCGCACTGGTAGATTTCTAAGCAGTACATCCCCCGTCGTAGCGAGGAATGGTAATAGACGCAGTCGACGTCTCGCAATGAACACCTTTGAAGTTATTGGGGCCACTTGGTGTACGAGACGTTTATCAAGGCTGCGGCGGACTTCCTCATATGCAAAGGCTTAACAGCTCTTCACATGCGAAGTTGTAGCTGATGTGAACAATAGAGGCAGGGGCAGACTTGATGTTCTCGGGCTATAGATTGGAGATGTGAATAGAATAGTGAAGCAGTGCATTTCAATCGTTCTCTAAATGCTACCCGCCTTCAGCATCATTTCTAAGCCTGGCATGCTCCACACTCCGGTTCCAGTCTAGGAACCTATACAGGTAAATGAACTCGATGGCAGTTACTATACCCATCCCGATCGCAACACCAGTCCACAGACCCCAAAGTTCCCAACCTAGGCCAAAAGCAGTGCCAAAACTTATTGGCAGAGCAATGACATAGTAGCAAAACAATTGAACATAGCCGCCAAATTCCTGTTCGCCTAGACCTCTCAGAATTCCATTGCAGTTGGCTGCTAAAGCATCGAATAATTGGAACGCCGCACAAAGAGGCAGGATATCTGACACGATCTGGATGACTTCTGGATTGGAGGTAAATAGACGTGGGAGATGTTCCTTCAGGGCGCTGAGAAGTGTGAGATTCATGATGCCGATCAGAACAGCTGCTGTAAATGTGACTCGTGTGCTTACCCTCGCGGCATCGGCTAGGGTCGCTCCAATCAAGTTCGCAACTCGTGTGCTGCCGGCGATGCTGAGTGGAAAAGGGATCTGGTACGTAATAGCCGTAAGTGTCGAGATCACACTCTGCGCCGCCAGTGCAGTAGTACCAAAGAAGGATGCAGCAAATGTCAGTACTTCGAAGGCAACCATTTCCGCTTCCACCATGACCACACCGGGAAGTGCTAGCTTGATCATGGGCAGCCAATTTGCAAGCGCTTTTCGGGTGAAACCATTCCAACAGGACATACCAGACTTACTGAAGAATCTCACGTAGATGAACAGTCCGAGAGCAAGCAGGTTATCAGTAATGGCAACAGCAAGCGGCGCCCCCTTGAAGCCCATGTTCAGATGCCAGACAAAGAGCCAATGCATGAAAGCATTGAAAGGTGCGCAAAATAGCAGAACGTACAA